GAGCCACGGGTAAAATAATTTGCTCTAATTGCCACAAGGTCACGCTTAGATGAAATCCAAAGCGTTGTGATGGACATAAATTCCAGAGTTCCAGAGATCACAGTAATGTTTCCTCCAAATCTGAACGCATAATTTTAGGTGAGTACTGAGCAAACGTGAATTTTGCTGTTGTCTTTGTACTGTGTATCTTGTATTGAACTTGCAGAAATCTAAAGTTTTTGTGTAGACCTGAATGAAGTCTCCTGTATTCTTGGTTTGTGTAATATGTTGATTCGGAATGAATTCTGGCGAAACACTGGGTAATGTTAGCAACGATATGTAGGCTTCTCTCTCAGTCCGTAACTAGTAGAAAGATGGTATTCACTCTCAGACGCATCGCTCGCAATGACTCTTCAGGAATCCATGATGGATTTCCAAATCAGACTAAATTAAGCTACGGAAAAATTCCGTTTCTTTCTGACTACCCCTCAGTAGCAACATTGGACAAGTCGGTTTGTACTTCACGTCATCAGGTTCTACTGATGTTTTCGTTTGTATATCCATGTGATATGATCCCCGACCGTTTGAGTACATTCAGCACGCAAACTGCCCCCGAAAATTAACCCCGTGTAAATTTTGAATAACATTCTACAATGGGAGCGAAAGAAGGCTTGTAACGTCGTCGCACTCAACACTAAAATTTCTCGTTGTTTTTACTAATACCTCTTCACACATTTTAATCAGATCAACAAGGACAACATTTTCACCTCATTTTTCAGTTTGTAGGACATTTTAGATATGGCGACGCACTGTTCTACTATCGTTTATTTTTGAAGAGCATGGTCACAGACATAGAAATTAAATGCAGGCGATGAATGTGGAAGGTTTACAGGTGAATATCAGATAAAAAGAGAGAAGCTTCTCATTCGAAGCCTTGTCAACAACAGTTCCTCTCAGACAAGATGAATGCAAAAATGATTAGTATGGAAACATGCGTGTAAAGACCAACAACGGAAGAAAGGACAAACAAAGCTGAATGCTCTTCAGTTTGTGGTAAGCGCAAGCACAGTCAAGTCTCGCAAAGCAGGGACAAAGTGTCCGTCATACTGGGCTTGGTGGGAGATTCAATGGCGAGAGTGCACACTCAACCCCACGTGCCACGTGTAAGTGTCATAGGTTCCCAGAGAGCCCACAACGGCAAGCAAACACAAATCACCGACTGTGATCCTGGGGGTGTCCCATTCAAATAACAACCTTGGAGAATTGAGGTAAGCATATCCCTCGAAAAGAACTGATCATCGGCTGGTAGACTAGAAAGCCAACATCACAACCAATGGCACGTAGGGCTGAAATTACGGCGAGTTAATATTTGTAAGCACCATATTTCTGTTTCTTCTCATTCCATTCAGTCACGTCTATCACATTTGCTCGGTGCTCCCACACAGCGATTAGGTAAGGTCTGATAGAAGACATCAAAGTAGGTGCTTTCAAATCCTCAAATACGGTGAATCCCAGGTGACAGAGGCAGTTCGCGAGTTCTCTTGTAACTCGACTATGACGAGCACATCTATCATCATGCGTGATCCAGCAGGATTGCAAAACATGCACCGGACTCTACAGTTGGGCACAGTTTCCACGACAGTATATCGTTTGGCCACCATGGTTACTCCGAGCACTTCGAACTCTTGTCCCAAGCAGGTTGCATTGGAGCTGGGTGCTGCGGACAAATATCCAAGGAAACACTGTTTCCAGAAATACAAGCCGTCGATTAGAAAGAGGCAAAGCGACCAACTCTCGTAAACCGCGACCGTCGACGCTGTTGTGCAGACTATCACCCCATGCAGCCACCAGCCCCTCCTTGGTGTTTACGCATGCACCATTGGATCGGATTGAAAGGCTGAGATCTCGAACAATCTTGCCGAATGCGGAATCGTTGACCACATTGCGTAGTACTCAGCACTTGGTACAAATGATCTTTTCGATACGTGCTCTCTGTTGCATCGGGACTGTTGCACTCAGAAATGGGATACTAAATCCCCCGTGTTGTTTACCTGCATGGATGTAGCTGATCGGGGTGTCTTTCGGTAGACGTGGTCAGCCACGAATATATTGCCTGATGTAGTTGTCCAATATCTTAAGCGTGTTTCGGTGAACTCGGCCTAGCACGGGCGAATATGTCAGCCTCCGTATCAGGTAGTTCATCGTGATCTCCATTCTTTGATGCGGCTTCAACTGTTCAGTCACGTCTATCACATTTGCTCGGTGCTCCCACACAGCGATTAGGTAAGGTCTGATAGAAGACATCAAAGTAGGTGCTTTCAAATCCTCAAATACGGTGAATCCCAGGTGACAGAGGCAGTTCGCGAGTTCTCTTGTAACTCGACTATGACGAGCACATCTATCATCATGCGTGATCCAGCAGGATTGCAAAACATGCACCGGACTCTACAGTTGGGCACAGTTTCCACGACAGTATATCGTTTGGCCACCATGGTTACTCCGAGCACTTCGAACTCTTGTCCCAAGCAGGTTGCATTGGAGCTGGGTGCTGCGGACAAATATCCAAGGAAACACTGTTTCCAGAAATACAAGCCGTCGATTAGAAAGAGGCAAAGCGACCAACTCTCGTAAACCGCGACCGTCGACGCTGTTGTGCAGACTATCACCCCATGCAGCCACCAGCCCCTCCTTGGTGTTTACGCATGCACCATTGGATCGGATTGAAAGGCTGAGGTCTCGAACAATCTTGCCAAACGCGGAATCGTTGACCACATTGCGTAGTACTCAGCACTTGGTACAAATGATCTTTTCGATACGTGCTCTCTGTTGCATCGGGACTGTTGCACTCAGAAATGGGATACTAAATCCCCCGTGTTGTTTACCTGCATGGATGTAGCTGATCGGGGTGTCTTTCGGTAGACGTGGTCAGCCACGAATATATTGCCTGATGTAGTTGTCCAATATCTTAAGCGTGTTTCGGTGAACTCGGCCTAGCACGGGCGAATATGTCAGCCTCCGTATCAGGTAGTTCATCGTGATCTCCATTCTTTGATGCGGCTTCAACTGAACACGCGTCACCTAATCGAGCAGTTTGAGCAGCTGATGTCGGTGGTTCAAGACTCCATCCCCTTGAAATTAAAGAGGATGCCCAAGTATGTCATGGTGTCTCTCTGTCCCCACAACTCAGCGTTGCTCTCATCTTCCGGGTATTTATCTTTATGCCAACTCTTCCCAACTCGACCGCAGCAGCTCCAAGCCTCCCTTTGAGGCGAGCCTGGCTTTTTACATCCAGTCATCAGCAAAAGCAAAATCATCCACTAGGGTGTCTTGGAACTGGCATCCCAGTTGTGGCATCGACGATCCAAGAACCTCATACACTGCCTCACCCCTCTGTGGCAATAAAACTTGGAACTGATGAAAACTGCTACAGCATTCTCATAGGACTGTGTGACGTATCAAACTAGAGGTGATGGTGCTTCAAAAGCCTCAGCAGATCTGACGATTGTGTCATGCGAAACCAAAGCAAACGCTTTCGGGATAACAACAAATACCAAACTAAGGTTAGGAGAGTCGATGAAGAGGACAAATCGGGGCATGTAACGGCGATGTGGCTTCCAAGCAACCGTCTTGATGTAGAAATACAAACGGGAGAGAAGGCAGTTGATCGGCAAACACCTTGTGAAAGCACCGGATAAGAATGGATGACACGGAGATCGGTCTCAGTTGGTCCGGTGAAATTGAATTTCAGACCTTCGGGACTAGGGTAATACGAGCACGACAAAAATGTGGAAGATAACCCCCAGATAATGAGTGGATTATCAAGTGTAACATCCTGGGATGAGCTTCTTCAAGCATGGGGACGAATTACCCATAGCATGGATCATACGGACGACTTCTTTCCCTGTAACTGGCTCTATCCCACTTCGATCGGACGGTGCTACTATGCAACTTGGCTGGCTATCCACATGTTTTGGAGCAGAAAGCACCTGTTTCCAATACTTCTCGGCTTCTAGAGGTAGGTCGCAGTTACCTTTGCATAGATAATTCCACGACCCATCGAGCACGGCAGACGCTGCATCTTTCCATCTTTGGTGGAATAGGTTCTGGATGGTGGCGTCGTTGGCCCGGCGGATCTGCTTTCGGTCGACCGACATTTGATGGGCTAGCTAACGATGACATCAGGACAAAGTTTTCCAGGTGTGTGGAAATGTATTGAAAACATGGGGTCCAGAAGTGACAGGACTTGCTCCGGTGTCACGATGCCAGAATGCAACCCTCGGGCAACACTAGCAAGCGAACTTCGAGCTCGGAATCCCAAGAGTGACATGGCGCAATCCATGGTTTGTTTAAACCAGACGCCATAGTCATCGGCTTCCCATGAGTAGGCCGATGGTTTGTTCAGGGCCTCCGCATGATGATTCATCCTGTTGTGCTTGCCATTTGAGCACTCGTAACCTGGCTTTGATGCTGATAGTCGCTCGACGGGGGAAATACTGCCACAATCTCGTGAACAGCGCTGTCTGCGTGTCACAAGACGGATACAAATTGTCAGTCAGAAGAGTAATTGTGACTCTTGTTGGGACCAGCGGACACCGGAATTCTTCCCTCAGCCGAGGTTGTCTGCATTATGCTGGGCGGGGTGTGCTTGCCGGCGATGTCAACGCAGGTCAATCTTCATCGAAAAAAGGCGCAGGCCAACTAGGTGACCATGTTTGTACCAACACTTTCATTGTCGTGAACTCCATGGTGGGCTTTCGATTTGCAGCACTTGCCACAGTCCTCACACGTGAACTCCACGAGTTTCTCCCGTGTACTGTTTAGAACCGGTGCGGAGGTGCCAGATAATTCGCATTGTACATTGTTGAAAGTAACCAGCATATTGAAGCCAAATAGGATGGTTAGTCCTGTTTGGAGTTTCCGAACACTTGACTCACCCAGACTGACGTCTGGACTACCCAGTTGACACCACGAGGAGGTGGTACAACGCGCCGACTATAGGCAGCACATTGCTCACAGGGTTGCTAAAAATCCTCCGGCAACCCGAGACCGATTTCGGCCATCTCGGAGCTCATCAGACGGGACGAATTTCTCGAATTTCCGTCAATCGTATGTATTGCATGAACCTAAAATGCACCGAAATAGCAAAATACATTTATTTGCATGCCAAATTGGTTTTCACGAGAAACACAACTGAATCTCTTTTTTATGATGTAATGATAAGGATGAACCTGGTCGTGGGCTGTTGAAAAGTTTTCAGTGACCCCATCAGTAGTGCGTCAATTCTATTCATTAATTTTTGTTCTGTTTCACGTTCGATAAGTCTTACAAGTTTGTATCAGCCCAGTGATACCCAATATAATGCAGCGGTAACCAGCTCGACATTAAGTGATTCTGTCTGGTGAAATTTCATCGTGAGATGATTCGACGTTGTCTATGTCTGGTGTGACAACAACTACCACTAACGGTATAGTGTTCTGTAAACCATCGGATGGGAGATGAATGGGGAGTATATGCCTACAAAAAACAAGACAAAGAATGCAGTGTGAATTCATGTGAGAGCGGGGACAAACAATGTTTGCTTTTACTGTTCGGTGGGTCTCCTTGATCCAGTTGGCTTTGGCCGAGAAGAGTCAAATTATACCAACAGGTCGAACATCAAAATTTTCGATACTTAACCAGTCTCGCTATTGGACAGAGACCCCAGGACAACCAGTGAAAGGCAGTTCATGTAGTGATATTTGTTATGCCTTCGCTTCACCAGATGTTGGAAGCTGGTAGAGGGGTGTGAGCTGTTGATTTTTTCTTGACATCAAAAAACCTACCTACTCCATAACTAACTGGATCTACATCAAATCACTTCGTAGCCGGGAATTTCAAATCAAACGAAGCGCGAATATGTAAAAATCGCAGATGCCTATAATGGGGCCACATTGACGGAAAAACTTTTTCCTGCTGTTTGCCTTTAAAATTTTCGCACCGACCTTGCTGTTGCCTTGATCGCATATGTGTAGACTCAAGCTCCTGGACAGTATCAACGTCACATTTGATTATCAAGCACATAGACGCAATAATGTATAGATAAGTAGCCGGGACATGCTGTTAGTAGACTATGACAGCACGTAGATACAGTAAAGATTGAATGATTAACCGCCAGAGGAGGCATGTTTTCTATTTGGTGGATGACAGATAAGTTGCATGTTAAACGTAGGAATTGTGTTTGCTTCCCGTGGATACTGGGTGAGTGTCAAGATTTCAGTGCGAATCCACTGCAGTTGTTGGCAGAATGGGCTAAGTTCCCGACAAGTTTTTGTGCACTGCCTGCCATATTGCAACCATTCCTGATAGATAGGTGAATCTCGTAGGCGCTTCTGATCCACTTGGAAAAATAAAAATGTCGTAATATAAAGTGGACATTAGGAATTGATAATCCTTATCATAAGAAAGGCATATAAGGGGCCCGCAGCCTCTGGTTTAGCCGAAAATTAATTAGCGTGAAGTTATCTTTTGTATTAGTTTTCTTTAGAACCAAGCAACCAGTACTCTTTTAATCTTGACCCATACATCTATCAGTAGGATCAGCTTTTGTCGTTGATGTAAACGGTGTATTAGTTCAACGATACCCTTCGAGCCAATTTCGCATGTGTATATCAAGCTGGATGACTGAACAGGATGACTGATTTTGGTATAATTTAATTGCTTGCTGCCAAGTCCCCATAAAAGTATACCACTCTGAGCCATTAGTGACACAGGAAATGTCGTGTGACGTTTAAGTAATTGAATTAACATGAATACGTATCCCTTTTTTTCCCGATAACCTTCCTAATGGAAGGTTGAGACATTGCATGTAAAGAAATCACTGTGGCACAGCGGATTTATGCATAAATTAACTTAATCAACGGGAGACTCAACTAATGGCCGAAAATTCGATGTTCAAGTGGAACATAATGTAGACGGGAAATTGGTGACAGTTGCTACCTGATGATGGAATCGGTCGTGGGCTAGTGAAGAGCAGTGTGTGTCCTGTTCCGCAGGGTGTACATCTAACAGCATTAGGTGATATCGGGAAACACCTCACTGAACTATTGCGGAGCATAACTGAGTGTAAAAGTGCAGTACTGCTGCTATGCATCACTAATTCGGAACTTAAGCGAACTGTGGGGAGATGGCGATACCACAGGAGGACTGCTTAGGTAATACGTGCAATTACTGTACATTATTATCCGAATTTCTTAGAGCAGTTTGACAAAGACGCTGACACTAGGTATGTGAAGTACAGCATAAACGAACATTTCACTTTACTATCATTCATTGTTATTCATAGGTAAGTTACACGCATAATGTGACACCAGTGGCTGAAGAAAAAATTGGAAGGCAATGCATTCCCTTTTGAACCAAATAGCAATTCACATGAAAAAAACTAGTGTCCAGCTTCCAGAAGGCGACTCATCGTGATTAGTGAATATGTGACGTATGTAACGGCACTGACACTGTGGGGAGCCACACATAAGGATTTGATCTCTAATCTGTGAGCACAACACTGTCTGTCGCGGAATCTCATGAAATTTGTCAGCCTGTCTGTTGAATGAATAACAATACTGGGCTCTAAGATTAGTACGCCGGTATGAGATGATATTTCTTTGGTTCAGAGGCTTTGGACTATACACACCGCAACTTTCCATTACTTTAAGTGAGGAATTCACATGTACGTTTCTGTAACGTATGAAATGTTTCTACTGGTTTATTCATAACAGGCACGTGGATAAGCCAAACTTTTGGTGCACATTTTTTTGGCTGTTAAGAAAGTGGTATGACGATCAAACAGGGATAAAAACTAACTACACAAGCATTAAAGCCGAAGTAGTTTTTACACATACACAGGTTTTCCTGTCCAAATATCATATGGAATAGCAGGAAAGAGCGTGTTTGTGTGTTAAGCAGATGGCAAAACAATTGCACTGTTTGTCAGGAACAGCAATTATTGCCTACTGGATCAAGTTGCGTGGAACAATTTAATCTGAACTTCTTCGGAGTACATTGAGGCCGGCATATGTGCACGCGTATAATATTCGGCTTTTAGTTACTCTGTATAATCTTGGACAAAACTAGTGTATGACGGTAATCATCTCTCCGGAATCCCTCTGGTGTTCATTTAAAACGAGACCATTATATTATTGCGTCAGTCCCATTACCCACCACCAAGAGATGTGCTCCAACAGCCGTTGGAGACCTTCTCTAGGTCTCTGTAATTTGTTTCTTGAGAGTAAGCTATCTCATGAGTGAATGTGAAGTCGACCTGAAGAAGCAGCTGATATGTCGGAATTTGTCATGGAGGAAGTTAACCAGCAAAAATATCGCACAACTGAGGAACGCGAATGGTCTGGATAGCAACTGTTTCTTGAAGGTGAAATTGGATTCATTAGATAGGGCCTTTGGAATGCGACTTCTGCTTACTCTGGGAGAAGGTTCTTCCAGCTTCCCTTCCGTTTTTAGTCTATTTATGTGTATTTTTTATTTTGATGTTAACTCATTATTCTGTTATGCTCTGTATTGATAGATTCCCGACACGCAAGAAGATTTTGGAATAAATATGACACCTCGTTGAAAATCTCACACCAACCGCAAGGGGGTTGCAAAACACTGTTAAAGTTGCAATACGTTTGATGACAATTTGGCTTTTCACAAGGGTGTGACAATAATTTGTTCTTGATTAATAAAACACGGTACTTCTCCAGTTTGTCCTTCCTAAGTAGGAATTCCCAGTTGTGCGAATTCAACGTGAGGGAAACGCAAAGCCAAAAAATGGAACGGGACGTTTGGCAATCTGTGCTCTAACCCGAATTCCGTCTGCTTACGGTGAGTGGTGCAGTGCAAAATCGAAGCTTGACCTCACTGTTGTCGTCCACTGCATACCCCTTACACTGTTTAGTGACCATGGCGAACGGACTTTCCTAATTCAGGATTTGTGTGCAGTATAAAACATGAGATCTAACATGGGGCATAAGGTTACTGGTGCCTCGACCAGTTTTTCTAGCCAGTGGTAAGAGTTCTTAGAGGGCTTGTGAGTTCACTCGCTCGGGGAAAGCTCAGATGTTTGGTTAGGCCTTTAAAAAACAACTTGATAAACCATATGATCTCTAAAGTAAACTCCTAATCGCTCGCATCAGTCGTAAAATGACGCTGGACACTGCCGTTCTATTCTTAGGTTGTGAACAACAGCCACTGTGGAGATGACGTTCTCGTCGAAAATGAGTGGAATCACGAAGCTTGTTGTGGCCTGGATGCATTTTACCGAGCATATGCGTCTCAACTCGGGCAACGTTGCACTAAACTGGCCTACCTCCAAAAGATTAGTTAGCTTGCAATGTATCAAAGGATTGTTGAGTTTTCTGTGAAAGTGTATGGCGAGCAACTCTTGTCCAATCAGGGTTTATCCAGTGCTAGTAGCTTCCCTTTAGAATGAGTCATCAAATTAGACTTGAATTTCAATGGAAAGGTGGGATCCTGATGACGTAGGCATGGAAGAACACCAAGGTTTCGACAATTAAACTTGCATTTAACTAGTTCTTTACACAGACTATTCACTTCATTTGCATATAAATCGAAAGGGTAAGAGCTGGTCCTCGTATTGCTTACAACATGCGTACGTGCGAGGTGACCCCAAAACCACTGCTAATGTATCAAGGAACTGCTTTGTCAAGGATGATGCTACTTTCATGGTAAATCTTCTGAGAACAAATCGAACCGCTCAAAGTAATCGTCTGAGACAAATCGAACCGCTCAAAGTAATGCGAAACAGTAAATAGTAAGCCAAAAACGGAAGGATTTTGGGGCCACATAATGCCTTCTACAGTTAGAAGATTTCAACAGCTAACTAGATAACAAGGCCTCTTGTTACATTCCTCATATACTCATATGTAAAATGTGATCAAATAGGAAGTGTGACGTAATATGTAACGTATGACATATTGTGTAGATCAGATAACAGATCACAAGTTACTCAGAAATGTGAGTAGCTCACTTGAGGCTCACTTGGCGGCCACATGAAGTTAGGGCTTTAGAAAACTACGCAGAAGGAATCAATTCTACAAGATCAGCTGCAGTTCTCCGTCGGAAGGATAAGTGT